AGGGAGGTAATTTTGTGGTATGTGATGTGTGTAGATGGAATTATTTGACCTTTCGAAATCAGACAAAATGGCAAGTAGTTGTTTGGTGTGGACAATTGTGGTTTGCCTAAACTCGTTTCTAGACTTAGTAATAACAGTAGTAGTATTTATTGATAATTTTTTCTTTTTTGTAAATTGTCACACATCAAGCTCTAAAATAATTTTAGTTGCTTATCATTTTTCGAGATGTCTTCACATACATGTAATTAACTAACGTGAAGGGTTGAAAAAATTAATTCGAGTGATATTCTTTTTATGTCATGCCAAGGAGATTACGATAACATTATTCTATATTTTTCACTTTTTTTTTAAGAATTGTATTTCTCATCCACCCTACTTTTTAGAGTTTCCTAACTAGTCCATTTTTTTAACATGTTAAATTTATTATGGTAAATAAGGTTTTAAAATTTATGTACAGATTTATCAAATAGTTAAATTTACGTATAGTGGTCTTTATTTAAAAAATGGAATAATATTCAATTGGATTTCGATTTGAGAGTAAAGTTTATACTTGACAAGCTGATGTAAAAAATATATTTATGGAATTATTGTCGTGTTATAATTACGGTAATGTAACTTAATTTACGTAAAAAGTACAAGGAAAAAAGGTGTTTATCATGAATAATAGTAATGTAATATAATTACTAACTTTCAGATAATTATTACGGTATGTTAGTATTTTTAATTTAATTATAACTAACTTATGATGAAGGGAAGAAAAAGGGGGATCAAATTGAGTGCATTTAATTAAGTGCATGAGGGATGTCAAAGAAAAAAATTGTAACTACAGTACATGTTATTAGGGGCGTATATAGACCGAGTTGGTTCGATTTTTATCAAAATCAACCCAAACCAACTATATTGGTTTGGATTGATTTGATTTTGTCGGATTTTTCGGATTTTTGATTTTTTTGTTATATTAATATTATTTCAATCTTACTTTGTCAAAGTTATAGATAAAATTTTGATAAATGAATATATTTTTAGTAAAAATTAAAAATTTTGACAAACATATAATCTATTAAAATATTCTTATGGAAGAATTATTTTTAGTAACACATGATACTTATTTTCTTAGTCATCTAACAATATTTTTTCATTGATGTACGCTTTCAAGGTTAATTGAATTTAATAATTAAACATAAAAATTAATATGATACCAAAATAATGATATGTTCTATTTAATTTTAAATTATCTAAATATCATTTCAAATTTGAAAAAGATATAAGAAATTTTGTCATATGAATATGGAAGAACAAAGAGATGATTGATATATTTGAATAACACTTGATAAGAAAGTGATCAACCTATTATTTAAAGTAAATAAAAAATGAATGCACTTCATAGTTCTATTAAATTTTACATCCAATGAGAGGATCCCAAATATTTTTAGATTTTTTAAAAAGAAAATTTTATATAAAGGCTTAAAAGTATATATAAAACTTATATATTTATATGTCGGGTTGGTTCAGATATTTTACTTAATATCACACCAAATCAAACCCAACCTAATCGGATTTTTTAATCGATTTGATTTGACTTTTCGATTTAGTGCTATTTTTCGGTTCGGTTTGAACACCATTATTATCATGTTGATTAATAAAAACAAAGTTCGAATCTTCACCTATAATTATCAAAAACTATAAATGGCCATCATAATGGATAAATATCCAAAAAGGACCCACAATAATGCGTTATAATATGGAAAATGAGCTAACTTTTACATCTTTATTTGACCAATCAAGTCATGTTTATGAGGAAATGATTATTGCTCTTCTTGTGACTCATTGCTGAAAAATCTCCCATTTGAAGAATAATAAATCCTTTTATTGAGCAATTTTCTCTTTAATTGTCCTTATTATGCGACGCGTTTCAAATTAACATATCCCCAATGCGGTAAAAAAAAAAAAAAAAAAGAAGAAAAAAACCATTCTTTGAAATTTCCACTATTGTATTTGAACGAGTGAATCAATATTTTACTACGATAAATTTTATGTTGAACACAATATTTATTTAGAAAATTATGATCACATAATCCTAATAAATCGTTTTCAAGTAACAAAAGTTCAATATCTTTTAACGAATTATTGTGACAATAACTATTATTGTAAAATTTGATAAAATGTTTCAATCATATGTTTTTCTGCATGACCATGCTATGGTGGCCAAAAATTAAATAATGAGGAATTTTCAGAAATCACTATTGTTTAGTGGCTATTATAACTTCCTATAGCTACCATATACATAATTACTTCCTATAGCTTTTATTCAGTTGTTACGGTAGTGTATTCACATATATTCGCGCTGCTGTATTCATGAATACAGCAACAAAAAGCGCCTAAAATCAGGGTAGTCCAGCTGTACGCGCATGTATTCACATGTATTCGCGCCATGTATTCATGAATACAACAGTAAAATGCGCTTAAAATCAGGGTAGTCCAGCTGTACGCGCATGTATTCACATGTATTCGCGCCATGTATTCATGAATACAACAGTAAAATGCGCTTAAAATCAGGGTAGTCCAGTTGTACGCGCATGTATTCTCATGTATTCGCGCTGCTGTATTCATGAATATAGCAATAAAAAAGCTCCTAAAATCAGGACAGTCCAGCTGTACGCGCATGTATTCACATGTATTCGCGCCACTATAGGAGGTAAAATTTCCTTAAGGAGGAATTTTCGGAAACCATTATTATTTAGTGGCTATTAACTTCCTATAGCTACCATATACATAATTACTTCCTATAGCTACTATTCAGTTGTTACGGTAGTGTATTCACATGTATTCGAGTCAGGGTAGTCCAGCTGTACGTACATGTATTCATGAATACAACAGTAAAAAGCGCCTAAAATCAGGGCAGCCCAGCTGTACGCGCATGTATTCACATGTATTCGCGTTGCTGTATTCATGAATACAACAGTAAAAAAACGTCTAGAATTAGGGCAGTCCAGCTGTACGCGCATGTTTTTATATGTATTCGTGCCATGTATTCATGAATACATCAGCAAAAGGCGCCTAAAATCAGAGCAGTCCAGCTGTACGCGCATGTATTCACATGTATTTGCGCTGCTGTATTCATGAATACAGCTGTACGCGCATGTATTCACATGTATTCGCGCCATGTATTCATAAATATAGTAACGATAATCCCTTTAAAATAGGTATGTATAACTGTCTAAGAGAGAGGAAGAACATAAATAACGTATTTCATGCCTTATTTCATGCCTCAATGGTAGTTTATACCATAAAATACTTATTTTTCTATAAAATATAAAAGGTTGCTATAGAAAATAATATTTTAAAATAATTTTGGTTTATAATAAATAGGATGTATACCTTTGTTATAGGAGGTAAAATTTCCTTAATAATCAATATAAGGTAGTTAATTATCAAACATTGAAGCAAATATCAGTTCAAAATTCTCACATTTAATTCACTTAATAGAAAAGAACAATAAATCCTCATTATGCTTAATGTTCACTTCGTAACCACCCAAAATTCAATTAATGGAAGATGGCCAATTATATGCCAGGGGAAGCTAGTTAATTTTTTTTTTTTAAACTATCATGTAATCGAAAGAATATTTATATATAAGCCTTCTTAAAATGTGATTTCTACTATTAAAAATAAAATAAATTATTTGCTAGGACAGATAAAGATAATCTGCTAATGTAAAAATTCGTAACCTGATAATGTATATAACCTAAGTTTTTTTTTAATATTGCTTGTTGAAGGGAGTTTGGTGTTTTTGGTTGTGAAGAGACCTTTTCTTGGTGATTATAGGTAGAGGCATTAATTATAGATGAAGGCTAGTCTTTTTCAAATTATTGTTATTACATTTACTTGAACTCTTTATATGGTTAGCAACAACTAACGGTTTGCCAAAATATCATTTAAAAGAAAGATATATCTACAACAATGAAAATAATTTTTATTTAAAATTTAGTTTTCAATGTAGCGAGAGGGAAACTGGTTTAATTTGAAGTTCTAAAAGAATACCAAGGGCAAATCTATAAACAAAAAATAATATGGTGAAAATTACCAGAGCAAACATGTTATTATGGAAATAAAAACTCACGCCATAATCTCAAGTTGGACGAGAAAAAATAATCTAATCTCGCCTATTAATGACAAATATTCGTTTGAGTCGTGTTTATAAAATATCAAACAATTTGAATTTAGCCGTTAAAATATTAAAGTTTATATATTATTTAAACTTGATTAAGTAATAAATGTATGTATAAAAACCACATGTCTTTTAATATTTACTATTAACTTAGTATAAACTTCGAGCGCGAGTAAATTCTTAGCATAATCAAATTTATAGTTGATGCTTATAGTTAATCTTTTGAGATTGGATTGATAATCTATGACCACTACTACATTTTGGACCTCCAACAATCTAATTAATAGTATTAAAATTTGAAAGGAACATTCATAAAAAAATATTACTAACAAGCATGAAAACAAAGTCATCAGGCAGAAAACTTTAAACAAATGAAAATCCAGTAGACAAAATTTCTTTCAGCTTATTTTTAATAAGATATTGTATATCTTCTTTCAACCCAATTACCCAACATCAACATTTCCTTTCTCTTTTTTCCTTTTCTTTAAAATCTAATATATGTTCCATCTTCACGCAACAGTAAAAATTATCAACATACGATTTCGAGTTCAAGTTGCCACTTGCGAAAGTAATATTTTGTAGGAATACAAAGTACGATTGCGTATATCAGACTCCATGTGGTCCGATTTTTTTTTTAGACCTTGCATATAACGAAAGCTTAGTGCATGAGTTACTCTTTTTTTTTTTTTTTATATGTTTCTATCCAAATAAAATCTTATACTATTCTGGTGCTGACATTTTCAATATATATTTTTTTAATATAACAAACCCCAACCCCAAAATCACCCCCCTCCCCCTCCTTTAACCACAGCCCCTTCTCTCTTTCACACACAGACAGAGAGAACAGTTTGGGTTTGACCCAATTAATTAATGCCAGCATTAAAAAAATCTGGTAAAGTTTCTTGTCCTGTGACTAAAAACAGAAAATATTAAATTTCTCAGATTACAGAAAAAAGATTATTGTAATAATAATATAGCAGTATTAATTATCAAATCTGCAAAAAAGATTTTCTTTAATTTTTTCAAGTAGGTGAAAGACAATAGTCTTGGTCTATTTAGAGAAAGAAAAAAAGAGAGAGAATGCTTATCACAATTTTGAAGTTGCTGTAGTTCTAACTTCCAAACACTGTTTTTTGTTTTATTTTTTTGTTTCTTTTTATTGCATTTTAAAAAGGGGTATAAAGTGAAAAAAAGGGTATTCCAAAGCTCTTCTTTGGGCTTTTAGCTCTCTTGATCTGATTCTTCCAAGGGGTGAAATTTTGAATCTTTTGTGCATGAAATTTTCATCACAGAAATGGACCAAACAATTGAAAGGTCTCCAAATGCACATAGGGGTTTTCGAGTTCAACCTCCACTGGTGAGTCCTCAAATCTTTTTGACTTTTTTTTTATTCTGTTAATTTGTTTGATTAATGCCTTTTCTTGAAATACCCTGATGATAATTCCTAGTAAAGGTGCTATCTTTACAAGAATTTTTGGCATTTAGCTTCTTTTTTTGAGGTACCCTGATGATAATTCCTTGTAAAGGAGCTACCTTGGCAATAATTTTTGGTATTTAGCTTGTTTCTTGAGGTACCCTGATGATAATTCCTTGTAAAGGAGCTACCTTGGCAATAATTTTTGGTATTTAGCTTGTTTCTTGAGGTACCCTGATGATAATTCCTGGTAAAAGAGCTACCTTGGCAAGAATTTTTGGTATTTAGCTTGTTTCTTGAGGTACCCTGATGAAAATTCCTGGTAAAGGAGCTACTTTTGGAAGAAATTTTGGTATTTTAGCTTTTTTCTTGAGATACCCTGATGAAGATTTTTGTAAAGTTTTAATTTTTGTAGGATTTTGGGTACTTAGCTTGTATTGTTTTTTGGGTCTGTCTTAATTTGGCCTTTTGGGCTTCTATTGGTATAAAATTGGGAGGTGCTCAGGTGAAAATCTTGGTGAATGTGCAACTTTTTAAGCGTTCTTTGAGTTTTCCCCATGTTATTGTTTTCAGCGCGTTTCTGGGGTTCACCTCTTCCTGAATTTAAAGCTTCTTCTTTGCAGCATTATAGACTGAGAAACACATATATGTCGTTGTGGTCATGTTTCTGAAGATGAGCCTCTTTGATCTCTTTGTTTTCCATTTGCTGCAGCTTTTATGAAATTCGTTAATTTGCAGAGGTGTTCTTTAACAATCATATTAGTTCTCTCTTTAACAACTTTAATTCAATTTAGCAACTAGAAAAAGATGATTGAATGTTGAGTTGACTTGAGTCCTTGAGCTGTTTCAAGACGAAAATTGCCTTTCAGGAAGAGAGTATCCCATCACAGGCTCATGGTTAAGTTTTGACCGAAATCAATTATTTGTGATAAGTGAATAAAGTTACAATTACGTTGCATCTTATTCAACTGAACCTTTGTGTTGTGTAAGAACTAGAAGTTTCTACTATGGTGTGAGTCTTTTTCTTTCTTTTATTAGAGAAGATTGTGATTTCCAAGGAAGGCTTAATTTTCGATCTGCATGTGGTTATCTGGTTTTTGATTCCATTCATTCGTTAGGAATAGTGAGGACATTTGTGATTGTCTATCAGATTGACATGGAGCTATAATATTAGCAGTTGTCTTTCCATTTTCGTTTTACAAGGGGTTCTCTTCATTTGTTTTTTGAAACACGAGTACCTGCATTTCTTGTATATGATGAACTTGTAGGTGCTGTGCTGTTCCACTTTACTGTGATCAATGTCGAAACGAGTCCCTCTCTTACTCGCCTATCAAAAAAGCAAAAAAAAAAAAAAAAAAAAAAAAAAAAAAAAAATACTACTAATATTTTAGCCGCTTTTAATATTTCNAAAAAAAAAAAAAAAAAAAAAAAAAAAAAAAAAAAAAAAAAAAAAAAAACCTTTCTTGCTAGCTGTAATATTGTTTGTCTTTTGCATGAACTAGACGTGCTAATTCTGCACTGGATTTTCATTTGAATTCAACTCTGCGAGCAAGAGGGGGTATGATATTCTACTATTTTATACTTCCTTTTATGATTTCTTATGTAGAAGTACGAGGAAATGGCGCATTATTACATAGACTAATATTGATGTTGAATATATGAATGTGGACCTTTCAAATTTTTTAAAAGTTTTGTACTAAATGAATAAGTTTGTGCAATCCACTGAAAAATAAGGTCCTGCTTTATGAGGAGCAGTCTCATAAACTTAGAACATCAAAATTAGGTTACATTGCTGTAAAGCACAATGGAGTAGGTGCCCGTCTTATGCTCTTTTGATAGATTTGTGTGGACTAATGACTGACGAGACTTAAATCAAAGAACTTATAGAAATATGATCATTAAAGTGGTGATATATTTTCCTGTAGGCTTATATGAGAGCTCTTAGCTAGTAAATTCTGATATTCGGTATGCACCATATTATTTAGACCATGGTGTTTATACCTTGTTCAGGCATATCCTCAACTTTTCCTTTCTCAATTTTGGTGTAAATAGTGAAATGATGATTTGTCTATATTTCAGTTTTCCTATTAGTGTAGAGAAGGCATTCTCCTTTGCTATATTTGTCTGGTGCTGGAGTACACCTGCATATTCTAATTGGTAAACATTTGCAGGTTGACTCTGTGTCATGCTATTGCAAGGTTGACTCCGGATTAAAGACAGTTGCTGGGGCAAGAAAATTTGTCCCAGGATCGAAAATTTGTATCCAGCCAGACATTAATCCTCGTGCACACAAGACTAAAAACTCTCGCAGGGAGAGGTCAAGAGTGCAGCCACCTCTTCTACCTGGCCTACCAGATGATCTTGCAATTGCTTGTCTAATACGTGTTCCTCGTGTTGAACACAACAAGCTTCGTCTGGTCTGCAAAAGGTGGTATCGGCTTCTTGCTGGAAACTTCTTTTACTCTCTCAGGAAGAGTCTTGGAATGGCAGAGGAGTGGGTATATGTGATGAAGAGGGATCGTGATGGAAGGATTTCGTGGCATGCATTTGATTCAACCTATCAACTGTGGCAGCCACTTCCACCTGTTCCAGGGGAATACAGTGAAGCCCTTGGATTTGGTTGTGCTGTTCTTAGCGGTTGCCATCTGTACCTATTTGGTGGAAAAGACCCAATTAAGGGGTCTATGCGACGGGTAATCTTTTACAGTGCTCGAACAAATAAATGGCATAGGGCACCAGACATGCTTCGTAGACGTCATTTCTTTGGTTCTTGTGTAATCAACAACTGTCTCTATGTCGCCGGCGGAGAATGTGAAGGAATCCAGAGGACTCTCCGTTCAGCTGAAGTTTATGACCCCAACAGGAACCGCTGGAGCTTTATTGCTGATATGAGCACAGCTATGGTGCCCTTTATTGGGGTTGTTTATGACGGGAAGTGGTTTTTAAAAGGGTTGGGATCTCACAGAGAAGTTCTGAGTGAATCCTATAACCCAGAGATGAATGCATGGAGCCCTGTCAATAACGGGATGGTTGCTGGTTGGCGCAATCCAAGCATCTCCATGGATGGTCGCCTTTATGCTTTGGACTGTCGTGATGGGTGTAAACTTAGAGTATATGATGAAGCCACACATTCGTGGAATAGATTTATTGACAGCAAGCTCCATCTTGGAAGTTCTCGTGCTTTAGAGGCTGCAGCTCTGGTTCCCCTCAATGGTAAACTCTGTATAATCCGTAACAACATGAGCATTAGTATCGTTGATGTGTCAAGTCCTGATAAACAAGTTGAAACTAACCCACATCTTTGGGAAAACATTGCCGGTAAAGGGCACTTCAGAACTCTGTTCACTAATTTATGGTCAAGCATTGCAGGACGAGGAGGGTTGAAGAGCCATATTGTGCATTGTCAAGTGCTACAAGCTTGAGCATTGACCGTACTATATACTCGTCCATGATAAGAACTGAGAATTGGTTTAACTTCTTCAACCTCAAGAACAAAATCTCTTCCATTAAAGCAGTTTTGACATCCTCAACATGGTCTAGTGCCAGTTTGTGAACCAAATAGTTGCATAATCCATTTTCACTTCCTGATGACCTTCTGCAACCTCTGCAGATAACGCTCACCTCGGTAATATATTGTATATGTCATATGGAAGTGTTTGGATTGGACATAATTCGATATTGGCCTTGAAGTGGAGGGTTTCAGCATCAACAGCTCAAGCGTGGATTTCCTGGTATTTTCATACTTTGCCATTTATTCATCAGCAGATGTCTGTTCAAATACAGAGCTAGCTTGCTAATGAATTTCGAAGTAGAAAAAATGAGGCTATTTCGTCGCTTCATAAAAGATTAAAGAGATCAAATAGCTCTATATTTTGTGTATCCATTTGGTCTGTTGTTTTGCACCAATAGTAGAAAAACATAGTTGGTTACTGAAGGACATATAGGTAGAATCTCTGCTTCTTAACTTCTTCCCTTGCTTTCTTTCAAGATCTGTACAATATGTGATTGGGATAGAGCGGCATTGAACTTGCAACCATTGGCTGCTGAAGTGGCTTATTTAGAAGTTCCTTATATTCAGCATTATGATCTTGCTGCTCCTGCTCCTGCTCTTTGAATATGTTGCTTATGATCGGTTAGAACATAGTGGCAATGTCTATTTCCTAAAGCTTGTGCTTTTCGACGAAGGATTCTATGAAACAGGTATTGGTAGGTTCAGTAATGTGACATTTTCAAGATTTTTCATAACATGTTGAGTTTGTATTCTTACTTACAAAGGTTATGTGAAATCTTGAAAAAGTTATATGATGCATTATCGCATTAGAATTCATGGAATTTCCTTTTGCAGTAAATATAGATTGGCATTTGGTCTATATGTATTTCCAAAGTTCATTTTTATTGAAGATGTGAATTGCTTACTAGTCTGGAAACTTTGTCAAAAGATATGTGATCGTCAACAAATGTTTTCATCCTGCTTGTAAAGAATGATCCTTTGGTATAAAGATATTCTGTCCTCAAGCTAAATTCATTGTTCTTTGAGCTGAGGGTCTATCGGAAATAACCTCTCTATCTTTATAACGTAGAGGTAAGGCCTGCGTACACATTACCCTCGCCAGACTCCACTGATGGGATTATACTGGGTTTGTTGTTGTTGTCCTCAAGCTAAAACCTCTTTACACAAATAAGAGTCTTCTCGTCTTGTCTTTGATTAATTAAAAAAAGGTAATACGGTACACAAAGCATCCCGCATTTATGCAGGGTCCATGTAAAGGCCGTGCCCTTAGGGGTAATGATGTAGACAACCTACCATAATGTAATCATTAATAGTTGCTTCCACGCACAAAAGTTGACCACTATCTATAAATTTTAGCAACTTTATTTCCTAATCAGAACTATGACAGAACAAATATACTGTGTGTTTACTTGGGAATATTACAATTCCAAGTACACAAGAAAGAACTAAACAAAGAATCAACTCTAGGTACCCCTGTTAAGCATTTCTTGAAAACGTTTTAATGATTCTTCTCTTTCAAACTTAAGTTGCTTCCTGAAATTCTTGATAAAATCATCAGCAGATTTATTCACATCCTCCATCAAGAACCGCCTCGTCGACGCAATTCTCTCTCTTCTTTCACCATCTTTGTCCATCCCCTTCATATTTGAAGAATCATTTTGGTGTTGATCCATTTTGAAGCTTAATCTATAAACTTCTTTTAGTGTTGAAGAGTTAGTTAAATGGTGATGGATTGTTAGCTTGTGAAGTTTGCTATATATATAGTTGTAAATTATGAGTTTAGGATGTTGTTCTTAGCTTTGAAGCATGAGTTTTTCATGGGAAAAAAGTAAAGGAAAGGAGAAGGAAAGAAAGAGTGATTATCTATGTTTGTTCATGAGTGGAAGGCATTCTTGTGGATTGTTGAAGCCAAAAAGGAAAAGGCAAAACACTTCTTTATTTTATTGTTAGTTTTTGTGTTTCTATATGGTTTAACATTTCAATGGAAGTTGCAGGCTATGATTAGTTTATTTGTAGTGCAAGAAACTGACATAAGTCCATAAATAGATTAGTGGATGATTCATATAGATTAAGGTATTAATTTGTATATCTAACTTTGTAACTTTGAATAGATGGTGGAAGAATTTATATATGTACTACAAAACGAAGTTTCTGAGGAAATTAAAAATAAATATCTAACTTGTCCATCATATATTATATTATCACTTGTCTTTTGAGTTTCCTATAGCGGTAGTCTTGGCGTAACTGGTAAAGTTGCTGCCATGTGATCAGGAGGTTACGGGTTCGAGCCGTGGAAACAGCCTCTTGCAGAAATGCAGGGTAAGGTTGTGTACGATAGACCCCTGTGGTCCGGCCCTTCCCCGGACCCCGCGCATAGTGAGAGCTTAGTGCACCGGGCTGCCAAAATTATTTTTAAGTCTCTTGACTCAACTTTTGTACTATTTTTGACTTCAAGAGGGTGTGAGAAGGGCTTATCTAAAAAGTCCTACTAAGGGACATTGACTGTTATTAAATCCTTAAGATGAAAAAGCAGTACGTCTAAGGATCAATTCAAGCTAAGAATTAATCAAACACAGGCGCTTATTAAGACGTTTTGGCCAAGAAAAAAGAAATTTTAAAGATTAAATTCAAAGCCATCTATAAGTTAATGTTGAGACGTATTATTTTGCAATTGGTTATTAAAATCAGATCGCCATAAGAAACTTATCCGTACACAGTGTTTATACATAACTTATGTTTCTCTCTTGAATAAACTTTTAATATCACTTAGCCATGGTTAATTACTATGTATTCTCGCCTCGATTTATAATATAATCATGCTAAGTTAATGCGATTTTGTGTAAACACTGTGTGTATAAGTATCTATTATTTCAACAACAACAATCACCCGTATAATCCCACAAGTGGGGTATAAGTATCTATTATTTCAGTTAACAAAAAACGAAAGAAGCTTCTTTGTAGTATCTAGCTGGGCAATTCCACCATGTAAGCTCCTAACATTTGCATTAAAAGTTTATGAAATACTTTCAATACATACAATTTTGTTAAAAAATGTCATAGAGAATGTTAATAATAGTTGACAATCTCAAAAACTTTTATTTCAATTCTTTGAAAAGGTAGAATATTAGTAGTTGCTAATAATCCTGCCAAATCATATGTTAGCCAAAAAAAAAAAAAGCATGTTAGCAAAATATAGCATTATAGACTTTTGAGAAATTGGAACTCTATATCATCCAAATTTACTTGCAATTCATCTTCCATACTGAGTTTTAATCATATTCATCTTTTATCTTCTCCTTCTGGCTTATGTTCCTGTTATCATTTTATTGAAACTAGGAATAATAGGCAGATTCAGAATTTAGACCTGATGGATTCAAACTTTAAGTTTATATCATTGAATTCATTTAACTTTTTGAGATTTGTGACCAAACTTTCCACATGTATATTACTTTCCGTGTTGAAAATACTGAGTTCAGTTGAATTCAGCGAAACATACTGTATCCTCATCTGCTGGGGAGCATATAGCGGGGAGGGGGAGGGGGGTGGGGGGGTGGGGGGGTGGAAGAGAGGTATATACATCAACTAATATAATACATCTTGTTATAAATGATACATCCGTGGAAACTTTACTTGATCATATGTTCTTGTACGTTGATCAACCTTTATTACCTTCACTTCACAAGAAGTGAAGTAAATAATACATTTGCCATTGCTCCTTTTAGCTTGAGGTGCATATTTGTCCCATTTACTCAGTATTAAGCATTTGCATATCATTGACAGGAGGTGGAAGCTGCAGCAAAGATAGACAATTGGATGTTACAACTTACAAGCTATAAGACTTTAGATATCTTCTGAGTCACTTCTGAATAAATAGATCAATCAGACTCAGCGGCGAAGCTAGAAGTTTTTCCAAGAGTGTTCAAAGTTGAAAGAAGTCAAAAAAAATTCCTTTATAAAGGGTGTTCAATATATATTATATACCGCTAAAACTTAATATTTTACCTATATACACAGTCTAATGTTTTCACGAAGGGTGGTCAATTAACCACCCTTGGTGCAATGTGGCTTCGCCGGTGCACGAAGCATCCCGCGTTCACGTAAGGTCCAGGGTAGGGCCACACTCCAAGGGGTGCAATGTAGGCAGCCTATCCTGATGCAAGCATCAATGACTGATTGCACGGCTCGAACCTGTGACCTATATATCACACGGGGATAATTTTACCGTTACTTTAAGGCTGCCCTCGCAGAAAAATGGTGAAGTTGTCGATGAAAAGTGAGTTTTCACGCAAGAAAATGAAGGATACTGAAAAGACTTGTCCAAAATCAATATGTTATACGTGTGCAATTTATTCCAGTAGAAATTCCAAAATCCAAATATAAGCATTGGTTGGAAGGAATTACCCTCAGTTGCTAGCTTGTAAAGGCAAGTTATAAATTTGGAGACACAGGAGAAAGCAAATTAGTAATACATAGGGAGGAGAAGAATACAGAGAAAATTCTGCTTATCTTGGCACAAAAATAATATAAAACAAACTATACACACTATTAAAACCTAGCTTTGTAGGGTTTTCACATTAAAATAACAATTGTTCAATTCCATTAGTCAACTATTCAGGGGTTGACTTGTAGCTTTTGTTCAAGTAATAATAGTATTATTTTCTCAACCTATGACCGCTCTACTTGTAGTGACTTTTACTCATTTGGAAATCAATGTTAACATACCTAGGTTGCAAACAGGCAAAGAAATTATTTTTAATGATTACAGTTACCAAAATATTATCCAAAACTCACAGAGAATCTTCTTCAACAAACTCCTCACAATTTTTATCTATGTTGTGGTGTGTGTTGGATCCTCCAAAAATAAAGCATTATTGGAGAAGCCGACACGAGTACAAGTGTATAACAATATTTTGAAAAGTTGGCGTAACATAGATTTTCACCCGCTAGCCAGAAATGGTAATGCAAACAACCATTTTGAACATTACTACATCTCCCAATTAAATGTCAAAAAACATTTTCACCAAAAGTGGAAAGGGAATCATTTTCCTACACGATTATCTCAGCTCTTAACTTCATATAACTGCTTTAACTAACACTTAGACATAATTATCAATTTTTACTACTCAATACTTCACCAAAACACTATCCAGTTTGCTAAACAGTAAATCGGATCGGCTATTTATGTAAAGATCCCGAATTTCGAAAAGATTTACCTGTAAAACTTGTCTCAAAGATCCACCACAAGAGCTCAACCAAATTCCATTGTTCATACAAGAATGAATAGTCTCAAACTGATTCACATCAAGCTTCTTATTAACAAAACCAATCTGAAAGTAAACACTATCAGAAGGTGGCAAATCAACTCTAATTTCATTAACATTGAACCAAAAAAAGAATCTTTTCAATTCAATCCCTTTTAACTCAGTCATTGACCCAATACCTAGCTTCCCACTAATCTTTTCAGCATAATAAACCAAGTATTCGAACTCAACATAACAAGGGGTCTTCAAAAAAACTTCAAAGTTTCCATCTTTATCAAGATTGAAGGATTCCACAGTGTCTGGGAAGATGCCACGTGGAAGCCCATATTCTGGGAGAATATCATATATTGTGGGATTTGGTTCTGGCTGTGGTGATGGGCTGAGAATGAAAGAGAGGGTAAAAGGGGGTAAAATGAAGAGAAGAAAAATACCCAAATGGAATCTTGAATTGGAAGCCATGTTTTTTGAAGAAATTGAGCTTTGGAGTGAAGGTAGAGTGCCTTAGATGGTTGTACTTTCTGCTTGAAGAGATGTACTTTATTTGGATGGAGGAGAAAAAGAAAATAGTTTAGTTTTATTGGTTAGAGAAAGAGAGAGTAGTTTGTTTTGGACTTTTGTGATGACATCGGAGAAAGAAGCCAAAAAAGTGCAATTTCTTGGAAGGTGGGAGTGTTTAAATTATTTAAATTTGTGGGTATATTATTTCTCCAAAACTTAGGGACATATTTATCTTTTAATTATTCAAATTTCATGTACTACTCTTGCTCAAAATTAGGGACTTTCTTAAGAAAGTCAAAACTTTAATTGCGTCTAGTCAACTATAAAAAATCTTCATTGTTTTAAAATTAATTTTATATAGGACAAAATCGTAATTAAATTACTCTCCCTAATATTTAGGAGTTTTAAATCAACTAAATCATTATTTTCTTTATATATTTACGGCTTTGAAATCACATAAAACTTTTCATATTAAAACTTTTCTTATTTAAACTATGTATGGAGTTCTAATGTCTTTTAAATTATTATAAAATTGTAATTACCATCCGAAATTAGGAATTCAAAGCCTACTAAAAACATTTCTTAAAGAAAGTTGTGTCTAATATCCTTTTTAGTTCCAAGATCGTTGAACATACTTTGACGGCAAGTATGACGAATCTATACTTAAAACTTGGACATTAGCTACATCAACAAAAATCAAAACAATTTAAAACTTAATCATAACGTTAAATACAATTAGTGAAACAAGTTTCAATACCCTTTAAAACTAGATTTTATATTGGATATAATTATAATTTAATAGTCTCCCAATATTTAGAACTTTTAAAAAATACAAACTAAATTTTAGTTATTAAATCTTCCCTTATTCGAACCATATATATATATATATATATAGAAACTACTAAATTTCAGGAATTTAAAACCAAACAAAAATTTATTTATAAATCCTTTATGTATTTAAATTTAATTATGACTTTTTTCTTAGGTATATTAGATAAAGTGTATATATGCGTACATTAAAAATTTACAAATAAAATTTTAGATCTAATTTTAAGTCTTCAAAAATTGAAGATTACTATACTATGTAAACCAAACTTATAACATACTAGGACGAGTATGAAAATATATGTAAATAAGTTAAATACGACATGCTTAGATTTTTAAAATAGTAATAGTATTTTAATTTAAAGTAATACGTACTATAATGTACTTTAAGTTAACTATATGAATACATTTGTGATGACCCAAAATGTCAGCTTATGTTTTAGAACTCGAATCTGCGCTCTTAAGCCTTAAAAATCTCATTTTTACCCTCCTCGATTTGTGTGCGCAGTTTGGGCGTGTTTCCGAAAAACTTTTATGTTGAAAATTGATGAAAATAAGAATTTTTGCCTTAAAAGTTGATTTTAGTTGATTTCGGTCAATATTTTTGGTAAACGGTCTCGGATCCATATTTTGACGGTCCTAGTGGGTCCGTATCGAATTATGAGACCTGGGCATATGCCCGGAATCGAATTTGGAGGTTCCTAGCTCGAGTTATGAATTTTTGATGAAAATTAAAAGTCTGAAAATTAATTATTTTTAAGAATTAGTTGATGTTTGGCCTTGTTGATACATGATCCGTATTTTGGTTGCGGAGCCCGGTATAAGTTCAATATAATATTTATGACTTATGTGTGAAGTTTGGTAAGAAACGGAGTTGGTTTGACGTGATTCAAACGTCCGGTGGTGAAGATAGAAATTTTAAAGTGTCCTTGAGAATTTTATTTGATTTGGTGCTAAATTCGTAGTTCTAAGTGTTATTTTGGCGATTTGATCGCGTGAGCAAGTTCGTATGATATTTTTAGACTTGTGTGCATGTTTGGATTGGAGCCCCGAGGGCTCGGGTGAGTTTCGGATAGGGCATAGGATGTTTTGGACTTGGGAAAATATGGTATTTTACTGCAGCAGGTGTTCTGGCATGTCCTTCTTCGCGTTCGCGAAGGTACTCTCGCGAACGCGGAGTGATATGGGATTTACCTTTCGCGAACGCGACAGACTCATCGCAAACGCGAAGCACTTGGGGACCTGGGGGAGGGTTGGTCTTTCCTTCATCGCGAAAACGAGCAATGTCTCGCGAACGCGAAGGCCAGGGGGCGTAACCTTCACGAACGCGGGCAAAGTCTCGCGAACGCGAAGGCTTGGCAGCTCTGGTCTTCGCGAACGCGATGCACACTGTCGCCCAGTGCATAAAACAGAATCAAAACGGGACTTAAGCCATTTCTTCAATATTTTCAAGATCCAAACGGTTAGAGGCGATTTTCAAGAGTCATTTTCTTCCCAAAGTGTTGGTAAGTGATTCTAAATCATTTTCTTTCAATTACCCATTTCATTTCATAAATTTTTAACCTAAAATCTAGAGTTTTCATGCTAGAATTAGGGGTTTGGGTAGAAATTAGGGATTTCAGAAATTTTGGGATTTAGACCTCAATTTGAGGTCGGATTCCAAAACCAATTATATATCCGGGCTCAGGGATGAATGGGTAAATGGATTTTGGTCCGAACCTCGGGTTTTGACCAAGCGGGCCCGGGGTCGATTTTTGACTTTTCGGAGGAAAATTTGGAAGATCTAAATTTATGCAATGTAATTGATTCCTTTCGCAATATTTGATATTATTGAGTCATTTTTGAATAGATACGAGTGGTTTGGAGGTGAATTCTAGGCGAAAAATTATAATTGAGTAATAAGTGGCCTTCAGAATGAGGTAAGTGTCGTGGTTAACCCTAACTTGAGGGAATTAGGAACCTCAGATTATTTGCTATGTGAAATTCATGTGAGCGGCGTATATGTGAGGTGACGAGTACTTATGCGCTGCCAATTTACTTGTTTTCCCTGTTTCTCCCGTTTTTCTTATATTGTCTCTTTTCAATGCCTAATTGCTATATATTTAGTCTAATGTTGTTAAATTAATCATTCTTATCATGTTTACGGATCTTCTGGTGATAATTGAGTGTTTATTTCGAAGTTGAGATTGATATTGTGGAATCAAATATTGAAGTAAAGCTTGTACCTGTTATTCTATCTCCCTGTTGTTATTTATTCATTGCATTAAGGTAAGGGAGAGTGTTAATGCACGAAGGGTGATGCCGTGCCATTTTGTGAGTGTAAAAGCACGAAGTGTAATGCCGTGCCATATTATGAGTGTTAATGCACGAAGGGTGATGCCGTGCCATTTTGTGAGTGTAAAAGCACGAAGTGTAATGCCGTGCCATATTATGAGTGTTAATGCACGAAGGGTGATGCCGTGCCATATTGTGAGTGTAAACGCACGAAGGGTGATGCCGTACCATATTGTGAGTGTTAATGCACGAAGAGTGATGCCGTGCCATAATATGAGAGTTAATGCACGAAGGGTGATGCTGTGTCATTTTGATTATTTTTATGGTGAGATTTTGAGTAAAAACACGAAGGGTGATGCCGTGCATTTTTCCTTTACTGTATTCATTATTTATGTTGATTCATAGTATATTAGTTGTTCCAGTTATCATTCTGTTGTAATTCCTTATCTCGTATTTCCCCCATCATGTTTCCCCCTCCCTGTATTTCCTGTCTAGCTCTTCATTACTGTTATTCGTATATACACTGTTAAATTATATAGGTTGATTTGTAGGTGCCTTGCCTTAGCCTCGTCACTACTTCGTCGAGGTTAGACTCGACACTTACCAGTACATGGGATCAGTTGTACTGATACTGCACTCTGCACTTTCTGTGCAGATTTTGGTACCGACTCGGGTTGATTGAGATTTTGCTATTGGACCGCTATCCCGAGACTCAAGGTAGATCTGTCGGCGTTCACAGACCTTGAAGTCCCCGTCTATCTTTTATATTCTACTATTTCTTTCATTTAAACAATTGTATTTCTTTCAGACTATTACTTGTAGTGAATTCTAGAATGCTCGTGAATTGTAACTCCAGATACGAGTGGTAGAAATTAATGCAGTTTTTATATTATTTCGCACTCACTATATTTCATCTTAGCTAATTGTTGTTATTTACTTAATAAAATAAGGATTGGTTTAATGATTCTCTAACGTTGGCTTGCCTAGCAAGTGAAATGTTAGGCGCCATAACGATCCCGATGGTGGGAATTTCGGGTCGTGACAAGTTAGTATAAGAGCACTAGGTTGCCTAGGTCTCACGATTTATGAGCAAGCTTAGTAGAGTCTGGAGGATCGGTACGGAGACGTCTGTGCTTATCTTCCAGAGGCTATGAAGTTTAGGAACAAATTTCACTTCTATCCTCATCTGTCGCGCGATGTTGTTTTCTCAATACTGATTGAACTCTTCTACTCTTATTATCTCCCAGATGACAAGAACACATACCGTTTTCTCAGCTGAGCAGTAGCAAGAGCCTCCAGTGGCAGCTCCTAAGTGGGGCATAGGTCGAGGCCGAGGCCGTGCCAGAGGCCGAGGTAGGGGCAGGGCTCAGCCCAGAGCCCTAGCAGCAGCTCCAGCAGTGGAGCCTCAAATAGAGCTTGACGAGGAGGTTCCAGTCCAGACTGTTCCTGCCGGACCAGCTCATGTTCCGGAGGGGTTCATTGCCACCCCCGTACTTCAGGACGCTTTGGTCCGTTTGGTGGGCCTTATAGAGAGTGTGGCCCAGAATGACGCATTTCCCATGGCACCAGTCATCTCTCAGGCTGGAGGAGGAGCCCAGACTCCCACTACTCCCGCTCCGGAGCAGATAGCTCCCTAGTATCAGGTTCCAACAGCTCATCCAGTCGGAGTAGTTCAGCCGGTTATTGCGCCACAGACCGGTGACGGGTCAGCTATGTCTTCTGAGGCTTTATGGAGATTGGAAAGGTTTACCAAGATCTTCCCAGTTCACTTCAGTGGTGCTCCTTCAGAGGATCCCCAGGAGTATCTCGACAGCTGTCACGAGGTTCTACGGAACATGGGTATAGTGGAGACCAATGTGGTCGATTTTGCTGCATTTCAGATGACTGGTTCCGCCAAAAAATGGTGGAGAGATTATTTGTTGACCAGACCAGCTGGGTCGCCTGCTCTTACTTAGGACAAGCTCTCTCAGCTCTTCCTATAGAAGTTTCTGCCTATCACATTGAGAGAAGAGCGTCGCCGCCAGTTCGAGCGTCTCCAACATGGCAGT